CGTGTGCTCATCAGAGACAGAAAAGGCAAGAAAGCCCACCCCCACACTCCCGGGGGGATGGCCACGCCACAATCCCTTCTCCTCCATTCCCTTCTTGGGATCCTGGACATGCATGCACACAGGCCTGGTGAATTTAAGCCACAAGGTCCGGAACTCGAACTGTAGTTGATTCATGAGACTCCAGCGACATAACCGTTACATCTGCTGGTCCCAGGGCTGGATATTAAAGAGAGAAGGATGATGCATCTGTCTGCAGAGGTGGGTGCCCTTGGAGCATGAGGAAATAGCATGAGAACTGCTCTTAGGTATCACGTGGAGCCCCAGAAGGCTCGGGGAAGGGCACCGGCAGGCATGGGAGACAGGGTGAGCCCGGAGGCTGAGAACAGGTGGTTCGAAACGCATGAAAGGCACAGTTAGAACAGTTCCTCCTTCTCACCCCACGAAAGATTTAAAAACTGGAAGGAAATAGAAGGCAGAGGTTCTGAGAGCTCTGGAGTTCAGTGACCTCCTGACTGGGGACAGCGAGGGTGGGGCAAAGGGTCATGGGCAGGCACCATGCAAGGTGAAGAGTCGCTTCTGGATACAGATGGGATTCTTGAAGGGCTTCACCCTGGCTGAAAGTTAGGCACGGCCCTCAACGAACCTGGCCACCAGAAAAAGAAAGCAAAAACTTCTTGGGGCAGCTGGTGGTATGGTGGTTAAAGTGGCTGGATCCCACATGGCTGACTGTGCAGTTCGAGTCCCAGATGAGCGACGTGAAAAGCATGCCAGGCACATGTGCGTGTGCCCAAAAATCCCAAGAGGAGGAGGAGACGGAGGAGAAGGGACTGTGGCGTGACCCTGCCCCATGGGGGTACTTTTCCACCTCCCCTCTCTCTCTGTCTCTGGCAAGCACATAAACCCTCTGGCAAATTTTAAAAATAATCTGAAAATGAGTTAAATGACCATTTGTACATATGTTAGAGAACAACAGAGTAAGCCTATTGTCGTTCCAATATTGGAGAAATATGTTCAGGGAAAAGAATACGCCCTGGTCCGTTTTAGGGAGCTGTATTTCCAGACAGTGCGGCGTGTGGGGAGAAGCGTCCCGGCCGTTTCATTCATGGGTGTACAC